GAAAGAAAAACATCCCTCAATTTTCTGATTTTCTAGTGTTCTTCATTTCTTCCACCTTCTCCTTATGGGCCTTCTCCTAGCTTTCCACATACAATTGGCCAATCAATGTTTTCTTCCTGAAAAATCACATTATGTCCCTCAGAAGGCTTCTGCTAGAGCTCAGGTTGGGAACATGAGCTGGCAAGAGCTAAATTACTCTAAAGAGTTGGATCAAGACACTAAGAGTTCATGAAAACAATCTGGGAGAAGAGGTGAGAAAGACATGGGCAAGGAGAGGAGCCAGGAGAGTGGCTAGAAGCCAGGACACTCCATGAGGTGGTTAGGACAGTGAGAATTCCCGGGGAGGTGATAGAAGAACTTTCAACAACAACAACAACAAAAAGTCTGATGTTCAATTAAAGTGCTGTGGAGGGAGAACTGTGTTGTGTTTAGGTGCATGGGCTCTGGCTCATTCATTGTGTTCTGGCTCATTCATTGTGTTCTGGCTCATTGATTATGGTGTTTGTTTGTTTGTTTGTTTGTTTGAGACGGAGTCTCATTCTGCACCTAGGCTAGAGTGAAATGAAACAATCTCAGCTCACTGCAACCTCCACCTCTCGGGTTCAAGCGATCCTCCCACCTCAGTCTAGCTACTAGCTGTGACTATAGGCATGTGCCACCATTCCCAACTAATTTTTGTATTTTTAAGACATATGGGGTTTCACTATGTTGGCCAGGCTGGTCTTGAACTCCTGACTTCAAATGATCCACCCACCTCAGCCTCCCAAAGTGCTGGGATTACAGGCATAAGCCACTGCCTGACTTGACAGTGTTCAAAATTCACCTCTATCATTAACTTGCTCTGTGATTAGCAAGCTGTTCAATCTCTTAAGCTTCATTTCTTTTTTGTAAAACAGGATAATAACTGTTAAAAAGAAAAAGCCTATTTCTAATGACTATTGCAGGATTAAATAATATGTGAAAAGCTCCTGGCAGAAGAAATCAATTTCCTGGAAGTGTTAGCTATGATGATGACTTATACAATGACTTTGAGCAGATGCTGTTACTGCTGCCATGTAAATTGCCATTGTCTCTCCAAACTTACATTAAAATTCTGTGGGCTTGTAAAAAAATATGTAAAATATTAAAATAATTGAATTCCCTGTTCTGGATGAGGCAAGGATGAAGGGCACGTGAATTCACAAGGGCAAGTGAATTCATAAACTGACCTGATACAGCAGAAGCCATTGCTCTTCCGCACAACATGCAAGCTTGTTGAGGAGGAGCGGAAATCTGGGAGAGAGACTTTCCCCAGGCTGGGGATAGAGGACTGAGCCAACTGCACCCAGATCTGAAAGAGCAGGGAGAATGCTGGTGATAACTGAGTTCATGGTCCTTCAAGCAGCCGTCAGATGGCTACTGCAGAGCCAACAGCTTCTCCCTCCCCACTTCCTGTGGTTGTCTCTGGCAGGTGTGCAGTGTTGAGGATTCTGAAACCATGTCCCAGTTCAGTCTGAGCTTGGATGACCTAACTGATTAAGGACCCTGACATGACTCAGAAGTGTTTTATGTCAGGGGTCGGCAAATGATGGCCCCAGGGTGAAATCCAGGCCACGACCTGTTTTTGTGCGACCCACAAGCTAAGAATGCTTTTTCCATTTTCAAATGCTTGCAGGAAAATTTAATAAGAATATTATAGGCTGGGCGCGGTGGCTCACGCCTGTAATCCCAGCACCTTGGGAGGCTGAGGCCGGCGAATCACGAGGTCAGGAGATCCAGACCATCCTGGCTAACACAGTGAAACCCCGTCTCTACTAAAAATACAAAAAATTAGCCGGGCGTGGTGGCGGGCGCCTGTAGTCCCATCTACTCGGGAGGCTGAGGCAGAAGAATGGCGTGAACCCGGGAGGCGGAGCTTGCAGTGAGAGGAGATAGCGCCACCGCACTCCAGCCTGGGCGACAGAGCGAGACTCCGTCTCAAAAAAAAAAAGAGTATTATTGCATGACACATTAAAACAATATAAAATGCAAACTGTACCAGTACAGTTTAAAGTTTTAAACTGATCAATTTAAAGTTTTTAAATTGATCAATTTTAAAAGTTGTGGGAAAAAATGGTTTTGCTCTTGTTATACAAGTAACTGCATAATATCGTTGATTATGTTTCTTGATTATGTTTCTTGGCCCAGAAAGCTTGAAATACTTACTATCTTGCTCTTTACAGAGAAAGACCAACCAACCTTGTTTCATGTTATGCAAAGGAGTCACCGCACGATGTCTTCTCAACCTTACGCGTGCACTCTCTATTTTAAACTTGACTTTATCCTGTACAAATTGCAGGTGGGAGCCCAAAGAGGTCTATGGATTGATTTCCCTTCTTTTGGTAGAAAAATCCTTTTTAAAATTATCCCTTAGTAACAAGGACATTAATAAGTCAATAAGGTAAGCCTGATTGATTAGCTTTTTTCTTTTATCAAATACTAAAAATGAGTCAGTAAGTAGCTCTCATTGTCTCCTGCTTTAGAGACCAAAGGATAAGACAGGCCCACAGCCATGCTAATGATGTCACTTTCGTAGTGTTTCTTCTGTTTTCATGGTGACTGTCAAGTTCTACTTTGCCTAATTTTTATTTTTTTATTTAAAAAAAATTTTCTTCTCTGCTCATGACCACCCACCTCACTTCCGTGACTAATTGCAGACACCTGCTTTCTCAGTAAGATGTGGATTTGGGCATAATTTATCTGCTAGAGATTGGAGAAGTGCCCTCAAGTCCATGGCCTTGCCTGTGGTCCCCAGCCCTGGGAAGGGGGACACCTTCTCTTCTCCTTCCAGTAGGCTCCTCTGGTGCCTCTCCTCCAGAAAAGCTAGGTGAACTTTGAATTTTTTCAATGTAATAATTTCCTCCCATAATTACATTATAATATCAATGGAGCTTATCTCATTGCAGATTGATCTTCAATTGGCACCGACTCTTAAAACTTTCTCTTTCTCAGTCCCACCCTCTGTCAAGCGCTGCAGTTAATGACATGAGGAAGAGGATGAAATGCGTCAGAGCTTTACCGGAGATGCCTTTTAAAAAGAAGCTCATGAAGATTCTTTTAGGGTAGAGAAAAATCCTTTGCAAAGTGAATAATAATACCGTAGTTATATTTTCTGCCAATTTTGGTTTTCTTCAGAAGAAACAGAAACAGTATTCCTCCTTTTCTGAAAACTTCTTTCCTGAAGGCTATTTAATCATTCAGCAACCATTTACTTGATTTTGCCTAATTGGTTTTACAGAAGCAATAAAGCTCTTTGTGAGGAGTCAAACAATAGAGTTATAAAGAAAATCACCCTTCCTCTCCTTCCTCCAACCTCGCTCACTGGGTCAATCAAGGATTTCCTCCATATGTTTCTCTACATTCAGATACCCAAAAGCAAATGTAAAGAGTTATTTTTCTACCTTTTACAAAAAAAAAAAAGGTACATTGTAAATATCACCCTGAAATTATCATCAATATGTGTGGAGCTAAATCATTCTTGGTAGTTGCCTGCTATTCCATTATTCCATTGTACAGCTGTTGAGGTCCCTGCTGATAGCCTTTTTTCTTTTTTTTTTTTTGAGACAAGAGTCTCTCTCTGTTGCCCAGGCTGGAGTGCAGTGGTGTGATCTTGGCTCACTGCAACCTCTACCTCCTGGTTCAAGTGATTCTCCTGCCTCAACCTCCTGAGTCGCTGGGACTACAGGCACGTGCCACCACACCTAGCTAATTTTTTGTATTTTTAGTAGACATAGGGTTTCACCATGTTGACCAGGCTGGTCTCGAATTCCTGGCCTCTAGTGATCTGCCTACTTTGGCGTCCCAAAGTGCTGGGATTACAGGTGTGAGCCACTGCATCCAGCCCCTGATCAACTTTCAATTTGATAAAGATTTACTTTGTACCAAATACATACTAGACACTTCAACAGATTGTGGAGAGAGAAAAATGAACAGCTCATCACCTTTCATGACACCAAGGTCCTGTGGGGAAGATAAAAATAAATGATTGGATGTGGACACTAGGTGTGACAATGAGGAGGGCACAATTGCACAGCAAAGGGACAGAGAACATAGAGGGGGATTCAGAGTCATCTGGGGATGAGTCCAACACACAGGAGAGAGGGTGCAGGCACAGGGAACAGCACATGCAAAGCCAAGGAGGCTGCAGGAGCTGGTCATGCTCAGGAAACTGGCTGAAGCACCATGCCCATGCAGGTGCTGCTGAAAAGCCCAGAGGGGTAGGTGGGCACAGAAGTCAGTGGACTGGTATACCAAACTAGAGAGTCAGGACGCGTCCAGTGGGCTGAGAGTAAAGAGGGACATGCAAGCGTTTAAAGCAAGGCGTATTAGTCCATTCTCATGCTGCTAATAAAGACATACCTGAGACAGGGTAATTTATAAAGGAAAGAAGTTTAATGGACTCACAGTTCCACATGGCTGGGGAGGCCTCACAATCATGGTGGAAGATGAAGGAAGGACAAAGGGAGGTCTTACAAAGGGCAGCCAGCAAGTGAGAGCATGTGCAGGGAAACTCTCATTTACAAAACCATCAGATGTCGTGGGAATTATTCACTATCATGAGAACAGCACGGGAAAGACCTCCCCCCATGATTCAATAACCTCCCACTGGGTCTTTCCTGTGATGCGTGGGAATTACAGGAGCTACAGTTCAAGATGAGATTTGGGTGGGGTGACAGTCAAACCATACCACAGGGCAATCAGATCCTGCTTTTAGAGGATATCTGGAGGGCATCTGGAAATGAAACTTGTGAGGAAAGCATTTTCTAATCACGGGAGGATACTGGACCCAGGCGGGGCAGTGAGGGAAGAATGAAGGGGAGGTGGTGATGGGAACTAGCCTTCTAAGGTGAACCTGGTAAGACTTGTGGGCAGACTGAGAGGAGTGGTGATGCAGGAGGACTTCTAGGTTGGCAACCAGGTGTACCCAATGAAGGACGCGCAGGAGGAGGGCAGATGTGCCCAGGAGAGGTGAAGACTTCCATTTTGCACATGTGGAGTTTGAGTTGCCTGTGGAACATCTTGGGCTCTTTGAACATTTTTTCAGATGTGAGGTGATGATGGCCTTCCTAAAGTACCTTCCTTTCATTCTGTGATAGGTTTTCCTCCTTCACAGAGAAAATGGAATACAGTGATGCAGTAGGGTTCTAATCATGACTGCTATCTCAGGAGATGGGAGCAACATAGCAGCCAGGGACTCTGCTACAGGGGCAGTGCCTCTGAGTTCACAGGGGGCTCCTCCCGCTGACAAACTAAAACCATGACCGTCTGGGTAGATCAGTAAGTAAATGACATCCTTCCTTAGGGCTGAGGCCACATCAGAGGGTGTGGCTAGAGAGTGGAGGTGTGCGGGGATCCCATCAGTTAAGCACTTGTGTACAGGTCCCATCAGCAGCAGCTCTTGGAGCAGCCTGTCCCCAATGAGCACCTCTTTGAGAGTGACCACTGTCACTAATGACTTCCTTGTTGCCTAATCCAGCATACATTATCATCCCACATCTTCATTCAGCAAACAGGATAGAACCCTCCCCTCTGTGCCAAGCATACTGAACTGCCAGAGACATCATAATGAGCAAGACTTGCTTTCAAGGTGCTCTCAGACCAGTTGGAAAGTCTGAAAGTGACAACCCCCTTTCAGTGACAAATTCCCTTACTGCAAGATGACTGCTTCAAGACTGATAGGTACAAAGTATAGCAGTGTGACAAAGGAAAAGTTACATTGGTGTTACATGGAGCAAAAGGTGGAAAAGATTCTCCTGGGATAAGCAGGAGTCCATCTACAAGATGGCCTAGGCTCTCATTAGCATATTCTGCCAGAGGTATTTGAACCAAAGTGACTCCATCTTGAATAGGAACTGGGTGAAATGAAGATGAGACCTGCCGGGCTACATTCCCAGGAGTTTAAGCGTTTTTAGTCACAGGCTGAGATAGGAAGTTGGCAGGACTGGTATCACAAGATACAGGTCAGTCATAAAGACCCTACTGATAAAACAGGATGCAGTAAAGAAGCCGGACAAAACCAAGAATACCATGAAAGTGACCCGGGTCGTCCTCACTGTTCATTACATGATAATTATAACACATTAGCATGCTAAAAGACACTCCCACCAGTGCCATCACAGTTTACAGATGCCATGGTAACAACTGGAACTTACTCTACATGGCTTAAGAAGGGGAGGAACCCTCAGCTGGGGGGAAATCTCCACCCCTTTTCCAGAAAACTCACGAATAATCTTCATTTGTTTAGCATATGATCAAAAAATAACCATAAAAATAGCCAACCAGCAGCCTTCGGGGCTGCTCTGCCTATGGAATAGCCATCCTTTGTTTCTTTACTTCTCTAATAAACCTGCTTTTGCTTTACTCTGTGGACTTGCCCAGAATTCTCTATTGTGCAAGATCCAAGAACTCTCTCTTGGGGTCTGGGTAGGGACCCCCTTTCCAGCAACACTTCCACAGAGAAGAATCATCTGGAGAGCTTTTGAGAGTCAGTCCCGGCAAGAAAGATATTTGCAATTTTAAAAATCTGACAATATAGAGAAAACGACAGAATTTGTTTTCAGAGAATGCTTTCTTTAGGAAACGCATGCTAATAATGTTTCTTAAATACAAACCTCAGAGGGGCTTGGCTGGAGGGGGAGCTTGAGGCCAAAAGTGCAAAGCTGCTCTGAAAAATGAAGGGTGTGGTCGGACACAGGGAAGACCAGACGCAGGAAAGAAGCCTTCAACTTGGGCATCATCTGGGTGGTTCCCAGAGGAAGACGGAGATGATTTTTGGGTTGCAGAGAAAGGGAAAGAACTTGAAACTGGAGTAGAGGACAGGAGATAAGAGGGGAAGAAGAGGCAGGGGGCGGATAAGGTCAGGGTATCAGGACAGCAATAACCAAGTGCTAACTTGTCTGATGGTGGGAAGGGCCAAGTCACGCAGGAGCAGTGGTGTCTGGTATGGATTATTAAGTTGTTTCCTATTGCTGTCTTTCATCATTAGGTCATTAGTTAAGCTTTACACCACTGCTCAGTGTCAGCATTAGTTAAGCTTTATACCTTAAAGTCTTCAGTTAAGTTTTATGCCAGGTTATTACCGAAGCTCTATACCACTGCTCAGTGACAGCATGGTGGTGGCGATGTCCTGGGGAATGGAGAGGGTAAAGTGATGCAAAGACAGATATCGAGACCTCCAAACCGATCAAGGAAAAAGTTGAGGGCAGGAGGTCTCAGCTGGTATAACAGGAAAAAGAAAAAATCAAGGAAAACCGAACTATCGCTCCTCTCCTTTAACCCAGGATTCCTCAGAGGCAATTCAGGAGGGAAATGGAATTCCTCTGGAAATACACATCATGGAAGCTTGAGTTCTTTTGTGTGGCTGGAGTTGTATCTCTGATTCCAAAAAGGTAAAAGACTTGAAAAGTAAACTACAAATACAGATTTTCTTTCTGTGTCCTGTCTGTCCCTGAGAATTCTGTTTGCAAAGGTTTGGGGTGGGGTTGTGTCCAGGTGGTTCTGATGTGCGGTCAGGGTTGAGGACCACTGCCATAAGTCATGGGGCCACGGGAATTTCAAGGAGAGGATTTTTGTTTGAGAGTGCTCACTTTGGTGGCAGGGTGGTGGCAGGTTGACAAGGCACAGAAGGAGGCCGGGTCTTGAGCACTGACGGGGCCTGCCATATGGGGCCCTCCCAAGGAGGCTTCCTGTGTGTGCAAGGTACCACAGCCCCGCCATCCAGCGATGTATTACGTACCACTCTCTTCCTCTGAGTGCGCATTCTCCATAGCAGCAGAATGACAGTCACTTGTCATTCCACTACCTGATCTGGAGGAAGAGAAAAACCAGCAGTGTTTGTCTTTACTCAGGATGCCATCTCTGGAAGACAGGGACTGAGCCAAGGGCATGGACCTAGGATTTGACTCTCAGCTTTGGAATCCTGCTGACTTCTAGTTTCCACATCTCATCGAAAAGTCAGGAAGCAGCTAAAGCAAATACTGCCTTTCGCATTAGACCTAAGTGCAGCTGGAGCTTCAAAAGAGAAGCTTAGTTTCCTTCCCCAGTTGGAATGCTCCAATATTTCCCTACTTTTCAATAAAATGCTGAAAAGAAATTCCAGTGCTGCTATGCTTACAAATGCGATATTTAAAATGTGTATTTAATTAAAGTTGAGAATAGACAAACCCCTTTAGGGGCTTTCTTTCCTTAGAAATGCATCCTGTGTTCTCATTTTGAGGGACAAAACGTAACAAGTACTGGGCATAATAAAAAGAATTGCCTCTAAACCTACACAGCCTTCACTCCCCACACCTCCCTTTTGAATGTAAATGTGGGCAATACCAGGAAATGAGCCGGGCACAATATTTGCGCTAGGTCCTCATATCTCCACTCTCCTATTTGGAGTCTTAGGTAAACATGCCCCCAGCCAGAGAGCCAGCCCTGTGCGAACCCTGCAGACTCTTCAATAAAGCACCTCCTCGAAATTCTGATTCACATCTCTCAAATCCATTGTAATCCTTCACAGTCAGAAAACAAAAGCCACTCCACTGAGCTTAAAACAGTAAGTGCCTTACACTGAAAACACCTTTAATATCTAACTCTACTAAACATCGGGAGAGAATGCTTATTTCGGGAGTCATCTCACTTGTTCATGGGCATTTAATGCATAAATCTCAAGTATACATTATGATATGTTATTATATGAAATGTATACAGTATAGGTCGTGCACATAGGAATGTAGTACTGTTACTAGTATATAATCCTTCTGCTGTAGTACAAAGTAATGTAAGTCCTGCACACAAATGCACGCCTCACAATACAGAGTGTTACACATCATGCTAACATGTGTACTATTCATAACTCTATACCATTCAAAATGCTAATTGTCACTTTTTTTTCAAAGTGCAAGCATTTGTTTTGGAAGAATAAGGCCAAAGCTCACATTGTTCTAACTGTATGGCCAGCTGCTGGCTTTACCACAATGAGACGCATTGTTGGGTAAATGGAGTCCCTCAGGTGAATGTAATTATGCAAATCCTTCCCTAACTACCAGCACTCTCTTGGCCCTCCCCGCTGGCCGCCCACCACTGGGAACACTGTCAGATCGCATTACCGGAGGCCTCACTTGTTTGCTGGGAGTATCCTCCCCGCATTCTCCGGAAAAGAACCTGCTGCGGGCCCTGTCCCCGTAAGGCCTGTGGGCCCACTTGGGACCTCACCAGAAGACCAAGCTTTTTTCACCAGCTGACACATTTCTTCACTATATCTCGAGCATTGGAAAACACGCCTTTTAATTCCCTAAGGCGGTGTCTACCACCCCTTGTTCAACGGCAGGCCTGCACAAAGATGTTTCTAACGCCAGAGGCAAGAGAGAGGGAATGAATGAGGCTCCTTCACTGAAGCCCCTGGAAATGATGTAGACACACGGTCAAGTATCATTCACACACACACACACACACACACACTTCTTCATTCACTCCAGAACAATCTTAAGCGGTTATGCAATCACGCACTTTAGCATCCCTCATCCACAGACATGGGAACACAGGTGACATTGCTTATTTACTGACATAACTATAGACATACTTAGAAATAGGGAACCTGGACAAAAAAACTCTCTCGAAAGTCCCCACCCCGTTTAATTTACATGGGTCACTCGTGTGGGGGGGGTCATTTTTTTCCCACAGTTTTGGTGATTTCCCACAGTCACCAAAATAGAACTCCGCCTAGAGTGAGCCCTGCATAAATGTGGAGGGAATGCCGTACTTAAACTAACTTTTGTTTACCTTCTAGAACCAGCTCAACAAAATAAGAAACTTACCTTAGTTATTGTCAGGCCTCTGAGCCCAAGCCTATTTCCCTTCACTGACTCTCGTTTCGGACTCAGCCTGCCTGCACCCAGGTGAAATAAACAGCTTTGTTGCTCACACAAAGCCTGTTTGGCGGTCTCTTCACACGGACGTGAGTGACAATTATCATCTGTGTTATTAGTGAATAATACTTCATTTCTCAACACTTTGTAAATTGCACTTTGCGGTTTAACCTATTGACAAGAGAGTTTGAATGAAAAGTAAAATACCAAGACAGCGAACCAAACAATACTTCTCTGAAGAAAATAAAGTAGCCAAAAGAGGTTAAAAACACAGAACCGTGAACACAAAATTCATTTACTTTAACTCTAACTCAGGCTTGATAGCAAGATGATTCCTGAAGAATGAGATATTTTAAATCCCAATACTATAAAACCTGTAAAAACGTCAGAGAAGCTATGAGTGAGACTAAGCCTTGGTTAGCAGAAGGAAAGGAGAGGAAAGAGATCAAACCTACTGGAAAAGAACTTTCTTCTTTCAGAGCTGAGCCCAGGCCCGATGGCAGTAAGAAAGAAGGAGCCTCACTTGTTCCTTTCTTTGCACAAAAGCTGTTCGATTATTGTGGATGGAATCAGAGGAAATGGGAAGGTCTGTGGGAGGAAGTGAATAGGGTGCTTTGTCTTTTTAAGCTTTTTCTGGATCCTGCAGTTCTACTTTAACAAAAGAAAAAGGGATCTGGGCCCTGGTAATAAAATATAGGTTTGCATAACCTTTCATCTTAATTCAAGAGCCCCTAGGTTGAGGTGTACAAAGTAAGAATAAATTTATGTATTGTAACCAACCGCAACTCTACTCAAGATTTGTAAGAGTGTCTGTCGCATGTAGAAAATATAGAACGGACTTTCTAACCAAACTGTTTCCTCACATCCTGATTATAATATTTAAATTTTTTCATTATTTCTAGCTATTGTTTAGTTCGTTCTGTTGGCAATAAACTGTGCCAGGCGTTTTACTCATGGGATCATCTTTATTCTTCAAAGCAATCACATCAGTTGGAATTATTATTATTATTATTTTGAGACAGAATTTAGCTCTTGTTGCCCAGGCTGGAGTGCAATGGCACGATCTCAGCTCATTGCAACCTCTGCCTCCCAGGTTCAAGGGATTCTCCTGCCTCAGCCTCCTGAGTAGCTGGGATTACAGGCATGCGCCACCATGCCCGGCTAATTTTGTATTTTTAGTAGAGACGGGGTTTCTCCATGTTGGTCAGGCTGATCTCGAACTCCCGACCTCAGGTGATCCGCCCACCTCAGCCTCCCAAAGTACTGGGATTACAGGGGTAAGCCACCACGCCTGGCTAGGTGGAATTATTGTCTTCATTTTACTGAAGAGGACACTTCTACATTGTCTTCAAGGTCCCCAGTGAAGGCAGAAACTCATCAGCCCTCACTGAAGAAGTCACCAGTAAAGGCTGCTGACACATCATGGACACATCCTCTGGTCACTCCTGGGAAACTGAACTTCTTTTGTCTAAAATACAAATTGTATCCACGTGAACCTAAAGATTTCTTAAATTTCTGAATTTTCTTTAGTGTCATGATTCCATTTGGAAATTGTTCTCATTTCTTGGAAGTACCTGCTTGTTGTGAAATGTTTACATTATGGGAGAAGAGGAGAAAATTTAAATACAGTAGTCCACCTTATCCTTGGTGGATTATGTCCCAAGCCCCACAGTGTGTATCTGAAACCCTGGATAGCACAAACCCTGTATATACTCTGTTTCTTTTTATACATACATACCCATGAGAAAGTCTAATGTATAAATTAGGCATAGTAAGAGATTAACAATAACAACTAATAATAAAATAGAACAATTATAACAATAGACTGTAATAAAAGTTATGTGAATGTGGTCTCTCTCTCAAAACATCTTATTGTGAATACTGAATCTCAAAAAGTAAAACTGTGGATAACAGGGGACTACGGTAATGCAGACAAATATTTTCTAAATAATATTTCCTCAGTGAGGCAGATAAAGAATTGTGTCTGATATTCTACATAAAAAACAAAATTTTGCATCTTTTTGACTGATTGGGTTGTAAGGGAGAAAACCCAACCTTTTTCTCACCCATCACTAGGTCCGTGACTGAGTCACTCGTCACAGGCGTTTGAACCAGAGCAACTCTATCTTGAACAGGAGCTGGGTAAAACGAGGCTGAGGCCTACTGGGCTGCATTCCCAGATGATTAGGCATTCTAAATCACAGGATGAGATATGAGTTCAGCACAAGATATAGGTCATAAAGACCTTGCTGATAAAATAGGTTGCAATAAAGAAGTCAGCCAAAACTCACCAAAACCAAGATGGCGACGAGAGTGACCTCTCTTCGTCCTCACTGCTACACTCCCATTGGCACCATGACAGTTTACAAATACCATGACAACATAAGAAAGTTACCCTATATGGTCTAACAAAGGGAGGCATGAATAATCCACCCCTTGTTTAGCATATTATCAAGAAATAACCATAAAAATGGGCAACCAGCAGCCCTCGGGACTGCTCTGTGTATGGTGTAGCAATTGTTTTATTCCTCTACTTTCTTAATAAGCTTGCTTTCACTTTATGGACTTGCCCTGAATTCTTTCTTGAGTAAGATCCAACAACCCTCTCTTGGCATCTGGATCCAGACCCCTTTACCCTAACACACCTATAGCAAAAGACAGATTAACAAGAAAAAGAGCAAATTTATTTAATATCACAACCCAAACAAATGTTTTCTCCTGCTGGCCTGAATTGAGAAAGGAAGCACTAGGAGAAATTTTTACCCCGTCTTTTTTTTTTTTTTTTTTTTTTTTTGGAGACAAAGTCTTGCTCTGTCACCCAGGCTGTTGCTTACTACAACCTCCACCTCCCAGGTTCAGGCGATTCTCATGCCTCAGCCTCCCAGGTAGCTGGGATTACAGGTGTGAGCCACCATGCCCAGCTGAGTTTGTATTTCTAGTAGAGATGGGGTTTTACCATGTTGGCTAGGCTGGTCTTGAACTCCTGACCTCAGGTAATCCACTTGCCTTGGCCTCAAAAAGTGCTGGGATTACATGAGTGAGCCACCACACCCAGGCTTACCACCTGTCTTGACTGGGCATTACAGATAGAGATGCGGAGAGCTGACCTGGGTGAGAATTCCTACTTTCTGCTGGCTTTTTGTCGGTTGTCTCAGGATCTTTTCTGCAGGCTTCAGAGGGAGTGTGATGTCTCCATTGCCCCATGTTGGGCACCAGAAACTGTAGAGGAGAACAATTAATA